AAATTAATATCAGTTTCTGTCCACTACAGGGATGCAGTAATTACCTTTGCCTTGATAAACAGTAGTTGGTGCCTAATCAGTGCCATTAAACCTGACCTTTCCTCCTCAGAAGAGAATAAAAACCTTCATGCAATACTTTGAGAGCATTCCCTGCTTCTTTAGCTGAACTTAATTGAAAACATACACAACACAGGTGGAGAACAGCGTCCCCGGGAGAAGCTGTGCCAAGGAAAATCTGAAATATTATACTGATCAAATGATGGTGTGCAATGTTGAAGAGCTCGCTGAAGCATTTTAACGTCTTTTAGCTCATTATTTTGGCTTTATAGGCCACAAATGTCCTGCTTTGGTTCACTATCACTGCAGCAGCTGTTTGTGCAAAGTGAACCCTCAGATACTGGTCTTCAAAAAGACACCAAAAATAGAACTAAAAGGAAACACAAAGGTGAATGTTTCTCTGAATCTGTGGGACATAAATAGTACCTGTATTCCACTACATCATAATGGGAACTATTGCACTTTTTATTGCTTATTTGAAGGTATTGGTAGCTTTCTAGACCCACTGCTGATGGAACTGGACTCAAACCAGGAGCTAAAAGTGATTGTTTTTTTTTTTAAAGAGGTAAAATAATTTTGACAATTCCTTCTTTTAAATGATCTGGCTGTGAGTACATCAACTTTAAGGGTGTCCACGCCGTAAAATACTGATGTGATGCTGCTCTTTAGGGTGATTCTGGAAAGAGGAAGTACGTCAACAGACAAAACATAGTGTGAATAAACTTGGATGTGAATCTCTTACATGGTGAAATATGAGTCCTTCATTGGCAGGTTTTGTGCTCTTCCAGTCATTCAGAATCTGTTTTATCAAACCCCTGTGGAAAGCTGAGACAAAGAGCTTCGGTATCTTCGTCACTTTGCCTCGCAGTTCGTCGAAAACCTTGTGACTCGTGTCGTCACAACCAGAAACGCTCACAGAGCTGTGGGGGAAGGCGTGGTCTGAAACTCCCAGCAGGCTTTGCAGGCACTCTGTGGAGCCCGAATCCCACTCTGCATGGGAGGAAGAGTTAAATCCAGACACGTGCATCAGGTCGAAGGTCGAGTTCGATGCGTTCGCTTCAACTCCGAGCCGATCTTGCACGTCGGCCTCCAGGCAGAAAGACGAGTCCGACTCGCTTTCATGAGTGCAAACGGACTCACAGTCGAGGCTGCAGTCAGAGTCTGACCCTCGGTCCTCGGAGCTGGAAGTGTCGTCTGGATCTGCCGACCCGAGCTGGTCCGACTCCTCCAGCCTCCTCACGCAGTCGCACTCGTCTTCGTACATGCAGAGGTCTGCCGAGTCCGTGAACTGAGGAGGAGGAGGGATGATCTCGGCGGACGTTGACTTCAGCCAGTCGATCTCCTGAACCCACAGGCCCCTGATGATCGGAGGTTCTTCTCCCTCCTCCTGGTTCTGTTGGGCTCTGGGTTTCCTGCGTTGTTTCCTCTGGAGGTGGTAATGCTGAAGTTTGTCAACGTCCTCGTCCTCTGTGTCGCTCATGACGGCTGCTTCTTTACTGAGAGGCCTGAAAAGTGAGAGGAAACAAACCACAGTCATCTCTCCCAAAGACACACGGATGCAGGTTTCATTATCGTAAAGATCTGCTGTTGGTTCAATCCAAAAAACCCAAGTGGTGACCAGGATGAGAAGGAGAAAACACTGACTTTCTCTATTTATTTTAACACCCTTCATGGTCTTACAGCGGCCTGCTTGTCTTGATGTGTATATGATGTTGTGGACTAACTAACTAACTAAATAACTAAATAAAAAAATAAAATAAAATAAAACAACCTTTAGGGAAAACAAATAAAGTTTAAAAAAAAAAAAAGAAGTAATAATCGGGTTGCCAGAGCACTTAAAAAAATACTGTAAAATAACAGAAAATAACCATCTAATAATATAAAATTAAAATAATGGCTGTTTTATGTTCTATTAATTATGGAAAAACCTCCCAAAAATTCACCATAATCAAATTATATTTTCTGGCCTTAGTCTTTCCTGAGATCTACTGTATTTAATGTGTGAAAACATGTAATTACCTACTATAGAAATGTGTGTAATTATACAAGATATCTTTAACATAACAAACAAATCCCCGTACAAAATTTTATCTATTAAAAAAAACAAGAAAATATTTAAAAAATGATTCTTTTTATGGAAATGGAATTTGCATGCTAATTTACAATAAATAAATTCAGGTTTTTCTGTAATTTTGTAGATATTTTCATGTATTTATAAAAATATACATTTAAAAAATGCAAATGAAAATTTATTTATTTATATACATTTACAGAAAATGTATTTATTTATTTATTTATTTTGGCAGTACAACTTTTGTTTTTGTGTTGCAAATTGCTGAAAGCAGCAACCATAAAAGCGTCCATTTCAGGCTGATTTAGATCAGAGCATTTTGAGGTCATTACTGTATTTTATTTTAAGAATTTATAATGCTGTAGTCCCTCTTATTGATTTTATTTGCTGTAATCTTTGATCTAGTTTATTTCTGTTAATTTAGTATTTTATTGGTCACATTATTAATTTGTCTGTTTTGGTAGCAAGTTTTCCATTTGAACTATTTTATTATCAGCTTTGAAAACGGACTTTGAAAAGACTCTAAATGTCAGAAAAGCTGCTACACAATTAAAGCTGCATTGATTTTTTGATGTTCATTCTACTCAGTGACATTCCACAGGTTTAAGGACAACTTAAAGTCTGTATGTGCAGATTTGCATGTGACTATGTCTTTCAAATGATTCTGATCCTAAAACTGCCGCGGCTTCTGTGGGTCATGGTTGGTTTACTGTAAATACTGTTTTCAGTCATGTTTTACCACTAGGAGTCACTAAAGTCTGACTTTGTTAAATCCTGAGCGAATGTTTTCAGATTTTATTTAAATGTTGGGTGGAGATCTGAGCCTCCTTCCTCAGAAAAACAACTTTAATGCACTAATCTGTAACGTTTCTGCATCAAGTTAAGGTGGAAATATCGTGAGGTAAAAGAAAAGACAACATTCATGCTCAATTGGAAAAAAACTTTTTTCAAAATAAAAGTCCTTGGGCAGATAAATGCATGTGTTACAGATATTCAGGAAGGTATATCGTTTAGATCACACTAAAATCTACACCTCGTCATACCTACAGTATCAGATTTACATTTATTTAATTAATTAATTAAATTAATTAAATTTATTCTCAGGCTGTAAGGTGGCTCGGTGGTTAGCACTGTTGCCTCGCAGCAAGAAGGTCGCCGGTTCACGTCCCAGTGAGGACACCCGGGATCTTTCTGTGTGGAGTCTACACCCCGTGCAGCGTGGGTTCTCTCCGGGTTCTCCGGCTTCCTCCCACACAGTCCAAAAACATGTTGAGGTTAATTGGTGATTCTAAATTGTCCGTAGGTGTGAATGTGAGTGTGTTTGGTTGTCTGTCTCTAAGTGTAGCCCTGTGATAGACTGGCGACCTGTACAGGGTGTCCTCTGCCTTCATCCTGAGTCAGCTGGGATAGACTCCAGTCCCCCATGACCCAAGTGAGGATTAAGTGGTGTGTAGATAATGGATGGATGGATGGATGGAATTTATTCACAATATATGGCCAGTCACTAAGCTTCAGGTAACTGGCTGTTTGTTTGGGAATTGTAAGTTTATTTCCTGGCGAAGACGAACCAGGAAGTTTTATGACGACTTGAGTCAACTTACAGTTTGAGTCTGATAACTACAAGGTTGAAAATTAAAAAAAATCTGTGAATGTGGGGTGAGAGACCAGATCTACCAGCACTCTTTGTCCTGCTCTTGATCTCTGCTGCAGGCTACATTAGCAATTAGCATCACACCTAAATCCCAGACTGACCAGTGCAGGCGTGCTGTATTGTGGGTAATAAAGGTGCCAGGTTTTGACAAGTGCAACGCTTAATACAACAGGTGTTCTTAAAACTTTCTGGCAACATTTCCTGTTCGAACGTCTCCTGCTTCAACGTGGCAAAATGCTTTTCCCAGTTTGGTGAGGAAGAACTTTACTGGTTCTGATTCAAGCCCATCCAGCACCTCTGGAATAATCTGGACACCGTCAATGTTGGACTTCATCGTGGCTGCCTGCAGGTGTCACATTCAGTGGGAAAACCTTCCCAGAAGCGTCTCCATGTCCACATACTTTAGTCTACGTGGCCTCTTTAGTAGCAGTGATGTGGCGTGTTGTGTGTTGCATGTGTTTACATACCTGTGCTTCTGCAGGAGCTGAGATCGTGAGTAGGGGCTCTGAGTGTTGGTCGGGCTGAACTCCTGGAAGTCTTCTCCTGGAACACAGAGAGAGTTTGGAAAAACACCATATGTTAGGAATGTTGTGGGAGATTGAGATGTCCATCCATCCATCCATCCATCATCTACCAACCAATTGTTTTGAAAATCAGTCGGATTAAGTGATTCTTAAAGAAAAAAAGTCAAAACACTCCAATTCTAGCTTTTAAAATGTGATTATTTTCTAGTTTCTTTTCTCCTCTGTGGCAGTAAATGTAATATTTTGGGTTGTGGACAAAAGAAGACATTTTTCGCTATGAGAGACATTTTCTCCCCATTTTCTAATATTTTATATCCATCCAT